AGAGAGAGAGAGAGAGAGAGAGAGAGAGAGAGAGAGAGAGAGAGAGAGAGAGAGAGAGAGAGAGAGAGAGAGACTGCGTCAGCAGGAAGATCTGATTGCAGCTCTTGAGAAACAAGAACTTGCAGAGATGGAAGCTGCCAAGAATGTGTCTCGCAAGACGTATCTCTTGGAGCAAATGGCCAGACATGGGACAGATGGTCGCACCTCAAAGGTGAATAAGTGCATGCATTGTTGAGTGGATCCGTTTGGACCACAAGGCGAATCGCACTTATTTTCCAAGTTGGATCAGATCCTTGCTCAACTTCCACCAACTGGCCCTACTACTCCCTCTGTACCTCGATCTGTTTCTCCTCATTCCTCTCCTTCTCAAGCGAGACGCTGTCCCTCACCACATCCGTCCCTAAAGCCCTCAGTCACTAAGACCCTGCCGACTCAATCGGTGATCAGCGTTTCTTTCTGAAGATCCCAGCCCCCAATAAGTTCAGAGGTGATGATCCCAAAGTGGATATTGGGGACTGGGCCACTGGCGCAAGAGCCTACCTGAAAGGCTTCACCTGTCCTGAGGAGACAAAGGTCTCCATTATTCTGGGACTGCTGGATGGGTCGGCTCTGAAATGGGCTACGTCCACATCCCACAACCAGAATAAGTTGTTGGAGGATTGGGCTTTTGGGATGGGTGTGGGTGGACTTCTACAGGCCATGGAGGACAAATTTGTAGACAAGGAGAGGGCCCGCAAGACTGCTGACAAAATTGCTTGTCTGGGCGAGTAACGCTATTCAGGGTCTCTCCAAAATCTGTTTGCGGAGTTTGAGCAGCTCACCTCCACCCCAGGTGTGGTCATGTCAGAGGATGACCTGCTGATCAACTTCTGTCGGGCAGCGTGCCTGAGAAGTTCGCCTCTGCTCTTTACAACTCTGGGTAAAAGGACTGGAGGTCCTTCGACCGAGCAGCCTTGGATATAGAGGCTAAGCTTCATGTCCAAGACCCTTCTTAAGACAGAAGAAGGAGAGTCTTTCCCAAGAGCAGTAGAAAGGGAAAGACTGCTTTTGTACATGCGGGATCTGAATCAGGAAGTGATGCAGATTCCCAACACTTTAGCCCACGTGCTGGGACTGCCTCACCTCTTGCTGCAGATGCTGCTGCGACACTGGCTGATGCACTGTTGGGTATGCTTAAGGAAAAATTCCTTGCCACTAGTGCATCAACCAGCAGCAAGAAGGGGAAGGACAAGCGGCGTGGTTCTTCTACCCCTTCCTAAAGACCTAACTTGCCACGAGACGTCCAAATGCCAGCTGACCCACTTAATCCTTCCACCCTGCCCTGGCATGATCTCAGGATCCAGGAAGGGGTCTGGAGGAGAAGGAAGGATAAGGGCGTTTGCCTGACATGTGAGGGCAACCACTTTCTGAAGAACTGCCCTTACATGCCAGGTTCGGGTTCACAACGGCCAAAAAACGAGAGCAGTCTCTAGAGGCAGCAGCTCCCCCCAGTTCTGCAAATTCATCTTCGGATGAAGTTGAACTTGCAGCTACTTTAGTACCCAGGCCACATTGTTCAGGAGCTGTGAGGGCAGCATCCTTTGCATATGAGGATCCTGACCCCGGTCAGGAACTGGAGGAGCATGAGGCTCAGATGCTTGCTTCCCTCTTCCTTCAGCTAAAGGAAAAGAGGAAACCAAATCTGAACTCATCCTGCTTCAGCCTTTGATCAACCATACCAGAACCAAGGGCTTGTTGGACTGTGGAGCTACCGGGAACTTCATGTCTGCCAGGGTTGTGCAGAAATTGCATCTGAACCTGAAGACAGTGAAGCTAGAGAGGCCTTTGGAGGTCCGCATTGGAGATTCCTCCACTGTCACAATCAAGGAGAAGGTCAGTGGCATACACGTGACCTTTCGATACACGAGGAGAAGTCAGACAGTCTGAACTTCTACATATTCCTTGATTTACCCTTTGATCTTGTCTTTTCTATGCAGTGGCTGCAGGAAACCAACCCTAGGATCGACTGGCAGATCCCTAAGGTTGAGCTACCTAATCAGTAGGGGGTGTATTAATAATGTATATTGGCTGCTGAACACCATCCCAAAACCAGTTGCTACTGTTTGAAAGCTAGAGAGTTTCATGCTCTCTCACGCCAGTACCACTATGAGCGTCTGTTTTTGGCTTTAGTCAAACAAACAAATGCAACCCCTGCTTCCTGCCCAGTAGAAGTTCAGCAGGTTGCGGAGGGTTATGCAAATCTGATGCGGGAACCTATGGGTCTACCCCATATGCCTACCAAGCATCACATCGAGCTTTTACCTGGGTCGACCACTCCTAAGGACCGGGTCTACAGGATGTCCCCTGTTGAGCTTGATGAGCTCAGAAAGCAGCTTGAGACTTTGACCAGCAAGGGCTGGATTAGACCCAACACTTCTGAATTCGCTGCCCCTATTCTCTTTGTCCCGAAAGGGAATGGCGAATTCAGAATGTGTGTAGAATACAGGGGTCTCAATAAAATCACGAGAAAGAGTACAGATCCTGTTCCTCGTATTGATGATCTGTTCGATATGGTGCAGGGTTGTTCCCTATTTAGTGAAGTCGACCTCAAATCCGCGTATCACCAGATTGAGATGGCAGAGGAGGATGTCCACAAGACAACCTTCAAAACCAGGTATGAGACTTATGAATACCTGGTGATGCCATTCGGACTTTGCAATGCACCAGTCACCTTCCAAACAAAGATGCACCACATATTCAGGCCTTATCTGGACAAGTTCATAGTTGTCGACCTAGATGATATCTTGGTATTCAACCAAACTGCCAGGAAACATGCGAAGCATTTAACTCTAGTTCTTCAGGCCTTACGTGACAACCAGTACAAGATCAACAGAGAGAAGTCCTCTTTTGGACTTCCCTCTATCATCTATTTGGGCCATGTAATTTTTGAAGATGGTCTGGCCCCTGAAGCAACCAAAATTGTTGCCATTCAGGATTGGCCTCAGCCTCAAACAGTGACGGATGTACGGTCCTTTACGGGTTTGGCATCTTACCACAGAAAGTTTGTTAGGAACTTTTCTGCAGTAGTTGCACCCCTAACTAACCTAACAAAGAAAGACACTCCTTTTCTTTGGTCCCTTCCCTGTCATTTGGCTTTTTCACGAATTCGTGCTCTTGTTTTGAAGCTTACTAACCCCGCTTTGCCTTTCATTTTGACTACAAATGCTAGTCAATATGGCATTGGGGCAGTACTTCAGCAGGATGATGGGACAGGTATGCGCCCCATAGAGTATAAGAGCAAGAAAATCAAGACCCAAAAGTTGCAGGATTCTACCTACGAGACAGAGGTGTACGCTCTTGTGTGCGCACTGAAGCATTGAAAGCATTTCCTCCTGGGCAAGCACTTCAAGATATTTTCAGATCATTCGACTTTGCAGTGGATGAAGACCCAGGCAGAATTGGATGACAAGCTGACACACTATATTCAGTTCATGGATCTGTTTGATTTTGAATTAAAACACAGAAAGGGTTGTTACAATAAAGTAGCAGATGCCCTCTCTCGCAGGCCTAACACTTTTGCGGCCATCTCTTCTACTCACTCCTTTGGAGAGAAGACCCATCAGACCATTGCCCGGCTACTGCCTCAGGACCCGACTTATGGACCCATCGTGAGGAATCTGCAAGCAGATCCCAATTCGGAACCAGGCTATGCCCCGAGTTTAGGCTTGTTGTATACGTACAACAATGGGGAGGAACGCTTGTGCATCCCTCAGGACCACCCACTCAGAGCACTGCTAATATCAGAGTGTCATGATGCACGCGGCCACTTTGGGTTCTTAAAGTCTTATGCAGCCCTGTCGCAGCGCTTTTTCTAGAAGGAGATGCAGAATGATCTGTTGCGCTATATCGAAACCTGCGAGCTATGTCAGAGGAATAAGGTCTAGCGTCGACCTCCTCTTGGCTTGCTCACAGCTCTACCCATACCTGATGGTCCTGCTGAGTCTGTGTTTATTGACTTTACATATTTAGGTCGAACCACCCCTCGTGGCATGCGTCAGGTAATGGTATGTGTTGACAAGTTCTCTAAGTACGCAGAGTTCATCCCCTTACCAGAAGAGGCTAGGGTCCCCGTTGTTCGAGCAACACTTGCTAAGAGGTGGCTAACTCACCATGGACCGCCCACTTCTATAGTCGGTGACAGCAATCCACAATTTCGCATCAGTGAATGGCAGTCCTACTGGAAGGATTATTTGCATTCACGTCTGAACATGACCTTTAATCGTCATCCTTAAGCCAATGGACAGGCTGAAGTGATGAACCAGATCCTATTTCAGTTGTTGCGTCCTGTCATCTCACCAGATCAACAGGACTGGGATCTCCACATGTCTCGTGCACAACTTGTGTACAACACCTCAGTTCACTCGTCAACTGGGTTCAACCCATCTCGACTACACTGGGGACGTGAACCACGACAGGCTCTTGACGCTCATCAACAAGGCGGGATCTGATCTGACTCGTGGGACTGCTGAGTTCACTAGGCGGTACAAGATAGATGTGGAAAGGGCACGTGCCAACTTGTTCAAAGCCCAAAAGGTGATGATGGATCAAGCTAACCGGCACCAGCGTCCTTCCCCCATTTGTACCGGCGACCATGTCTCGGTAGCCAGTTCAAAGTTGACGAGGGAGGAGAATATCTCTCCCAAGCTGTTGCCACGCTATCTGGGTCCGTGGCAGGTGCTAGATACAGTGGGCTTCGATCCTTTTGGCCCGTCATACGTAATTGACGTCCCACTGCATCTGCAGTGCATCTGCAGACCTATCCGGTCTTCCATGCATCCAAGTTGTTGCCTTTTACATCAGCTGATGCATTCCTTGACCGGCCCCCTCAATTTGGACCACCTATACCTGGTCGTGGGTATGAGGTACAGTCAATTGAGGATGAGTGGGGCATCCACCCCAATTGGCAGTATCTTGTGAAGTTTTCCTTTCAGCCTCATTCTGAGGACCGCTGGTTTACGCGGAAGGAACTTCTCAAGACAGCAAAGTCTATGATTCTACGGTACGAGGCGGCTCAGAAGGGATTACTCCCTCGCCGATCCCCTTGTCTACGCCCTTAGCTCGGAAGTCCTCGCTCCCCGGGGGGGTAAGCCTACAACGACTTGCTGATTTGACTGCTGTGTTCTGACTGCGAGGCTGTATAGTACAACTAGGGTTCGATTTGCAGTTTTTGTTTTCACTGAGGACTAATCGCGGACATATCTGTAAATTTGGGAAACTTACAGTCCTACCCTAACTCGAATTTCCTATACTATCCTAACAGCGAATAGCAAACCCGGGCTACCACGAGAATAGACAGGATTACAGGCCTACATTGATGACTGGTCCTATAGCCTATAGCCGGGTAGGAAGAGGCCCTAGAGGCCAAAACTGAAACGGTACCGGTCAGTCCAGTCCTAGGTCAAGGTTACTCTATTTATAGGACGGAGGTAGTGTAGCTAGGAACTTTTTGGCATTTCATTTCGTCGGTGACGCGTGAGTTGAGCCAAGGAAGCAAGGAAATTGACGATTGACTCTGGGCGGCACCATGAGTCCCTCGTCAGGGAAGACAACCCTAGCCAGACCTCTGGGGCCCGCTATAGATGGAGCGCCCTCTGCACACTCACCCCTAAGGGTGCTTGTGATCGTCGGGGCTATCATGAGACTCTACATAGCTATGTGGGGGTGGACCGCTGCTGCTGCTACTTCTCCACAGTTCGCTGTGTGGAAGAGACAGTGGAGCTGCAGCCATAGCTGCAGCTTTTGATGTCAGAGACTCTTCATCTTCATAAAAAACTGGAGCGCTGGTCTCCTTCTTCATCATTTTGGTTGGCGCAGGCCTCTGGGAGGCGGTTTCAGTATAGCGCTACTAACAGAGTGTAGGAGTTGGGGGTGGAGTGCGGGTTTCAGTGGTGGGGAAACATTGGGAGAGAACTCTATAACGTTCAGTGTTGATTTATTTTTATTTTTTTATTTTTTTTCGGGACAAAAGCTCCAGTCTATTCGTGGGGAGCAGCACGTGCTGGGAACCGGGCCCAACGTCCCATATAGAGTTACACAAGTCATTTGAGATACCGGGGCCATTACACGGCTGCGGTTGAGAATCAATCTGAAAACTGTTGAAGAAATTCAAGGGAATTAAAGAGAGGTTGAAAAACTATGAATGACTACTGACCTCTTTTCGAATGCTCAGAACCCCAACACTCCCAAACAAAACTCTCTAAAGTTGTCCAACATTGTCTTATTCCCTGTCGAGCTCTCCCAAGCCTCACATTCCCACCCGACTAGGTCACAGAGCAACACGACTCGCCCCAACTCCGGCCAACGTCATCCCAACAGCAACCCTTGGTTCTCCCTTGGAATGCCCACCCCAAAGCATCCCCAGATCTCTCTACCAGGCCTCAGGCTCCTGCAGTCAGCAGGTTACAGGGCGACAACCCAACACCCGCCAGCGTCGTTCTGGCATCGAACAACCGCAGATCCATGAATGTACCAGTATCAAACAACCTAAAGCGAGTTGCTAGAAGTCCCCAGAATCCTAAAGCATTCTCAGAACCACCTGTAAACAAACCTTTTTTGAAGATATCCTTGAGATACCGGGGCCATTACCCGACTTCGGCTTTTTGTTTTTTAAACAAGAACACTAAAATTTTGTGTCCCCCAAAGCTTGGATCAAAGAAGCATTCGGAATGAAAAAACCACCTGCCTTAGGGCCTTTCAGCCGCCCAACCCTTACCTGCCTCACCCCTATACCCCGATGCCCAATCTCTACCAGGCCTCATGCCCCCAACTGCTAGGTTACAGAGTGGCACGACCCACCCCAAACCCCCCCCCACCTGCTAGGCCACAGGGCAAAGCGACCCGCCCCAGCTCTGGCAAGCATCGACTAGGCACCAGCTCACCAAAAGACACTAGAGTGCCTTCCACCCTCGACAACTCCCCAGATCTCTCTACCAGGTCTCATGCCCTCGTACAACTCGAGTTACAGGGCAGCACGACCAACCAGCGTCGTTCCGGCCTCGTCTTTTCGCGAACCATCGGGACTCAGGACTAAGGCAAAAGGCAGTCAAGCCACCAATCAGCACCATAGTTGTAGATCTCATTATTTGTCTCCTTCATGCACTGGTTGCAGATATCCCCCCAACAAACCTCAAGAACCCTACTCCGACAAGTCTTACCACGATGAAGCCACCATTTCCACCACTGGTGTACCCTATTACAACCTTGCAGGCTAGCCCCTTCGCCACAGAGCACGTCATCTCCCGCCGTCACAACCACCACATCCCCCTGCCTCCAACACCAAACCTTGGAAGAATTTTTCAATTAAGAAAAAATAGGAAAATCAGGCACAAAAAATCCCGAAAAAACACATGAACATTCCAATGCCCATTATTCCCACAGGGAGAGGGGAAGAGAGGGAAAAACAACCCTCTCTCCCCATGAAAACTCCAACGCCTATTGAGGTCTCAGTTACATGTAAAGGGGTCACAAGAGCCAAAGGGATTACTCCTCTCCCCCAAAAGACAACCCCCTGCTTGTTTACTGCCTCCGCGGGAAGGCGCCCCCTTGCCTCCCCGCCCCAGTTCAAAACAGCCCCCAAATATCCCTCCTGCTCCCTAAGTCGCATACAGTACCCCCTAAAGTATGCCCCCGCAGAGTAGAAGATCCCCCTTCCTTCCTGCCCCACACCCTCCAAGTGGAACAGCCCTCTCAACTCTAACCCTGCTGACATCAACACCCCTTGTCCTCTCTTCCCAACCGCCGTAGCTGATTTGACCCAAAAATCAGCGTGGCCCAAAAAAGGACAAACCCTCAATACCACCCCTACCCTCTCAAAGATCACACCACCCACCTTGTGTAACCCTCGCAGGGAGGGACTCCAACCCTAAAGGAGATATCCATTCCAACACCTCTGACCCCAATCTCACAACATCACAAGTTGAGACACCCTTGCTAAAACAACAAAGTAAGACTAATTACTTGAGTAAAAACTGTTTTTAAAATCCCACGTCAAGTAAGAAATTCAATTTTAAAGAAGAATCCTGGATTTCCATCTTCAAAATCAGAATACGAATTTCAGAATTTGGGAAACCGAGTTTAAGATTTTCTACGAGTCATGCAAACGAAGTTTGAATCACGAATTTAGCATTGAATTCTGGAAATCGATCGAGATGAACCTCGAGGTTCAAGGAATCGCTCAGACAGTAAATCAGGAAATACTAAGCAGAAAAACAAATCGACAATCAATTGTGTGTGAGAGAAACCATAACGATTCTAAGGCCAGATCGCGAAATCAACAAGAAAAATTACGAACTACTGATTGAGATCAACTAAGAAATCAAAATTGCCATCCAAGAAATTTATTAAGAAACTCCCATATCAGGAAAAAGAAAACAAGACCTAAAAAACCAAGCTCAACAAAAATAGGTCATGCCCCAAGATTCACTGGAGATTTCGTCGCTGCGTGAAGTCGCGTTGAAACACCCGAAGTCTCAGTTCGTGCAATCCATCACGTAGCGCTCCACTCTCGCAGTCCCTTGATCCAGCTTCTCGGCTGCTGTAGAGTCCCAACTCAGCCCCTGCCTCTTCCTGCGGGAGAAGCACGTTCGCCTCCCCATAGCCCGTGCCAATATAGCCCCTTGGCAAGCTTCACTGACTAGAAGAGATTTGGTAGGACACAATCACCTACTGCCCATATGCGATTGCGTTGTGAGTAATCACGTCAGGCCCGTTGACCAACGACCTGCCATCGCCCGTCCCCCTCCTATCTTGCCTCCACAAACTCTCCAACGCACGCCATCGCCGTTTTGCGCCCATCATGCTGCTTCGCGCCGTTCCGTTCACGCTTTGCTCCGCGCTCGCCTCGCCATGCCATGCTGCGTCGTGTTCCCGCAATTCCTGCACCGGACGGGGCGCAGCGCTCCCGGCCGTGCTGTGCCCCTTGACAATTGGCTCAAACTTGGTTACGTTCTGTTGTGATCCTCAAAGTGTCTTCTTATGATTGGTTGTTGGGAGTATCGTCAGAGAGGGAAACACTATGTGTTGCCGTCACACTCTGTGCATAATTGCTTTTCGCTGCTTACTGTCTGTGTGGAGTGTGTACTCTGTCTCCTCTCCCCTTCTTCTTATGCGTGTATGGGCATGTCTGAGATCGTCTGAGTGTGAGTGTTGATTGAAATCGATAGACAACCAAATTCATAACATTTACATCTAAACATTTGGCCTTCGAATTGCCAAATGGTAAATTTGCCAAAGCATCCCTGCCTGCCTGTTACATGCTGCACATGCACACACGGGCCATTTTGCAGGCCCGACGTCGTTCAGGCCAAAAAAAACCTGAATTTCGGGCTTTAAGCCTGATATCCAAGGCTTACAGGCCCCGCCAACGGTTCAGCCTGACAGCCCGAGAAAGGACCTACAGGCTCCAGCCTGTTTCCCTACAGGGAAACTTCCAGGCTCTTGCTTGCCTGGAAGCTTCCTTCTGACAGGGCCTACAGGCCCCAGCCTATTTCCCTACAGGGAAACTTCCAGGCTCTTGCCTGGAAGCTTCCTTCTGACAGGGCCTACAAGCCCCAGCCTGTTTCCCT